AAATAATGAAGAAAATTTGGAAGACAGAGAAAAACGAAGGGCACAAAATCCCCCCAGCTGCACCCTCTGTAGGTGACCACCTGTTCCAGCTGTGCCCCTCGTGGGCCGTGCGGGCTGCCTGTGTTCAGCCGCTTCTCCGACTGCCTGATGCTTGGCCCGTCCTTTCTCCTGTGGGGTGTCCTCTGGAGCTCGCCCTCGATGGCTCTGAGGGAAGCTGGGCCCGTCCTCTGCCCTGTGGGGTGTCCCCTGGGGCTCGCCCTCGATGGCTCTGAAGGAAGCTGCACTTCCTTGAGCTGATGCCTGCACTGCTGCCTCCTTGTTGAGAAGCTGGGGATGCGGTGTGAGGCGGTGTCGGGGCAGCCTTCCCTCTGCCATCCTCCGTCTCCCGGGCTCTCTCCCTGCACACGAGGCATGCCCTGGCCCCTTGCCTCCCCCACTCTTGGGGATGGTTGCTCGTCAGCACACGGCGACCTTGTTCCTTTTCAAGGCCGCTGCTGTCTGATGGGGCCAGTGCTGCAGGGCAGGTGCGTGTCCAACATCTTTGTGAATACGAGTAAATGCGTTTGCAGTCAAAACTGTAGAGGTGAAATTGCTGAGTCAAATGTGCGGACGTTTAAAACATCAATGAATTTCACCAAATCGCCTTCTAAAGACACTGCCCAATGGGAGCTCCTGCTCAGCGGGCGAGAGGCTGCCTCTGCTCCGTGCCAACACGGACAGGCCCAGGTCTCTGCTGGCAGCAAGGGTGGACAGCAGGGTTTGGTTTGTAAAGTGTGCTCTTCCTTAGAAGGAGGTTCCCTCAGCCACGTTCTCTGTAAGCTGCCTATCTCTGCCCTTTACCTGTTTGCCTTTTGGCCTACTTGTCTTTTCTTATTGGTTTGGAAGAACTATTTATATAGGAAGGAAGCTGCCTGTTCTGTTGTCTGCAGATGTCTCTCCCCTCATTGGTAGTGCTTTTGAATATGTTCACATAATTTTCCCCTATAGATGTTTTTAATCTGCTTAGTCAAATTTCTGTTTTCTTTGTGTTTTATAACTCTTTTGTGTGTTTTTTATAGTGCTTTTATGGCTTTATTTTTTATTTACACATTTAATCCTCCAGGACCCTATTTTGACATACAGAGGGAGGTGAATGATTCTCGCTTTGTCACCCTGGGCCTGAGAGCTCCCCGAATTCTAGGGCCTACAGGACCTCCCACCAGCGGTTCCAGGCAGCGTCTGCGGGACGTAAGCTTCCAAACCCTCGCTGTCTCCCGGGGACGGTGCGTCAGGTTCCTGTTTTCGGGTGCCGTGGGCATGGCTGCGGAGCCAAGGTCCCCAGGGTGGAGCAGGGAGGTCCCTGACCCACATGCTCAGCCTGCTATTTGTTCAGATGCAGTGCAGTTACAATTTGGGCTGGTCTCCACTGGTTGTAGACTTTTTAAAAAATTATTTCAAAATTGTAGAAAGTTGCAGGAGTAGTAGTGTAGAGAAAACTTCTTCCTGAGCCTTTGAGGCTGAGTTGGTGACATGTGTCTTGTTGTCAGGAGGCTTCTGTGTGAGGCTCCCCTCCTCACTCCTCACTTCTCCTGTTGGACACGGGGGTCAGCCCCTCCCCTTCCCTGGCCCCCATTGCTCAGGCTCATGCCCCAAGCAGATGCCTCCTCACCCCACTCCAGCCCTTACACACCATAGTGGGCGCCGTCCTCATCCCATTCATGGTTAGACACTGCACTGGGCCACATGGACATCTCACCCCCCGCCCCACTCTTCCAAAGCCTCTGACACCTGCAGAGAGCTGCACAGATGCCCTCCTTGCCGTGTACCCAGATGCCCCTTCCCCTCGTGCCTGGCCTGCCGCCTGGGTACAGTGGTGGGGTGCAGTGCTGGGTGCATGGAGGGGGATCTGGAGGAACAACCTTGTTCCTGGGTGCTGTGCTGAGTCCTGAGCCCTGCCGTGTGGCCCCATCTGTTCACCTTCTCGCACGCCTGCCCCCTTCCTGAGCAGCACACTGTCAGCCAGGGGTGACTCCGGAAGGTCGCAGCGCCTCCCCTTTCTGGTGGGGGAGTGAGAGGTCAGGGCGAGTGAGGAGGAAATGAGGTCAGCTCCAGGTGCGTTGGGAAGCCTCAACCCGAAGCCAAAACATCTAGGATCTTACCCTGGGAAAAGGGAGGGAATTCCCGTGGGAGTCACGGGTTACAGGGTTTACACAACAGGCTCGTCACCTTTCTCTTGACAGAACTGTTTCTGCCTGGTTTCCCTTAGATGCCGTGGGTCTGTTGTAACAGCCAAGTACAGAAGGATCGGGAGGTGCACATCTCGTGTGGATGTGCTCTGGGTGAAGCACGTCCTAGGCTTGGGCCATGTTATCTCTGGGGAAACCAGTTAAGCCAAGGAACTGGGGCCAGCCCAGGGTCCACTCTGTTTTTAGAGCAAACTCGAGGCAGAGACACTGTCAGCAGCCCTGTGTGTTCCCGCATGCCACAGCCCTGACGTGGGGCGGATGTGTGCCTCCAGAACAGGCTGCGCCCACCAGCCTGGCAGTGGCCCGTCCGCCCCCCGGCCAGATTCACCCATTGCAGTTCTCCATAAGGCGCCCCTCTTCCCCTGGTTGGAAGAATTCCAAAGGGGCCATAGCAGTCTCAGGATTTGTATCGTAAATTTATGGATCACACCAAAAGTTACGCTGCTCTCCGCCCCACCCGTTTACTGAGGAAGCGGAGAGTCTGGGGCTCGGTACCTAGTGAGAGGTCTCTCCTTCTGCAGATCTCTCACTGCCCAGGGCGTGGTCCCCATGTCCTGCCTCGGCACCGTGGGGCAGCAGGGCGCTGGCTGCTCCAGCCCATCCTTAGAGAAGGGAGGACCTGGAGAAGGGGAGTCCAGCACCACCTGACACACCAGCTGGCGCTGCCCCAGCCTCCTTGGGGCCACACGACGGCTTCTGCCAACACAGGGCATTTGTCCAGCTGGGAGTCAGCACCCAGTTGGTGTGGGGCAGGGCCAAGTGATGTCAGTGGCGCATGTGGCTCACGCCCTGGGCAGTGGGCACCATGCTGCAACTCAGTGGTCCTCCTGCCCAGAGTATACCCTTGCGGGTAGGGGTCCTCTATCTTGCTCCCCACCCCCTCTGCCTGCCGTGGAGGAGATGGTAGCCCTGGGATCAGCAACACAGCCCTGGGGAGCTCTGCGTCCTGCGGCCAGGCCGTGTATGTTTTCTGGGCTCTCTAAGGAGCTATACCTGTGTCCACACCTTGGTTCATAGTTTGTTTTGGGGAATAAACCTCCAAATCCCATGTCTCCAGTACCCCTCCAGTGGCGTGGTCCCAGGAGTGCTGGTGAAGCTTCAGTGGGGCCCAGCCCGAGGCCACTGTGCCACAGAGGCCCGATTGCTGTGGGTGCAGTTGCCACACTCCTTTCTAGTCCTGGGCCACAGCAGTTCCCGGTGACAGGTTGTGGCCCCCTTTGAGCTTTAGTTTTCCCATCTGTAAAATGGGCCTGTTCGTAGGTTGCTGACGGAAATGTGCCTGGTGCTCCTGAAGGTCCACAGGTGTCTTCAGGGGGTTAGCGAAGGGAAGGAGTTTTAGACACACCCTCTTCCTTTGTAGGTGATTGGCGACAGGCCCCTGGCGCCTGGTAACTTGCGACGCTGGCTCTGCACTTGCTCGTGGGCAGTGGGCAGGTGCAGTTCACAGTGGCCTGCTTCCACTGCGGGCGAGGCCCTGCCTGGGTGGTGGCAGGAAGCACGGCGCTCTGCGTTATTCATGAGAAGATGGCATGTTGGTGGGCTGGGGCTGCTGTAGCGAATACCACAGACGGGGCGGCTTCAGCAGCAGCCTTTTATTTCTCACTGTCTGGGGGCCGGGAGACCACGAACCAGGTGAGGGCAGGGCTGGGTGCTCCTGAGGCCTCCCGCCATGTAGACGCTGTCTTCTCCGTGTGTCCTTACGTGGCTGTTCCTCTGCGTGTGTGTCCTGCTCTCTTCTCATAAGGGTACCAGTCAGATTGGATTAGCGTCCATCCTAGCGACCTCGTTTTACCTTATCACCTCGTTAAAGACCCATCTGCAGGTCCTGCTGCAGTCTGAGGGGCTGGGCTTAGGGCTTCAGCATATGGATTTGGGGGGATATAGTTTAGTCCATAACCATGGGGATGTGCAGACACACCATGGGAGGCGGGGCCGTGGATCCGAGCCAGGTGAAATCACTGTGAAATTAGACAAGCCAACAGCACAGGCACTGGGGGGAGCAGCGTGGGCTCTAGAGGGTCAGCGGGGTGGGCTGTGTTCTGATGATGTAGGTGTCCTGGGGGACAAAGGAGAAGGGACGTGTTACACTCTGTCCTGATGCTGGATGAGCAAGGCTGGGGACACGTCCCCACACTGGCCAGTGAGAGTGGACAGATGCTCCCAGAGAAGGCCTGTCTGAAGAGAGGGGGATTTTCTTAGTACCTTGGTAGATTCAGTGACAAGATGTGGAACTTCCTCTTGCTTAACCTGGACTCCACTGAGACCCCTCATCTTTGGGCAGCGCCTGTCAGGGATCATCAGCCTCAGCTTTAGGGGCCTGGGTCCCGGGCTCAGCAGAAAGGGGTCCTCGGCGCCATGGGGCTTCCTCTCTCTGAGTCCTCTGGCATTCTCTGGGCTGCGTGGTTATGCTGCAGCCCATCCCGAGGGTCGTCCTGGGGTTGGGGTGCGAGGGCCTGTTGGTAAAGGCCTCCCTGGGCGTCCTGGGGCAGCCCCGTGGGGAGTGCCAGGCCGTGGCCTCGGAGGGACATCAGTGCTTAGGGAGCCTCCTGACTTTGTGCCGACGAGCCCCTGCAAGGAGCCCACTGCTCTGTCCTCCCATGGAGACTGTGAGAGGCCAGCCTGGCCATCGCACCAGGCACAGCCCCACTGCTGCGGGCAGCATGGTGCCGTCAGAACCTGCCCCAGCCCTGGCCTGGGCTCAGTGGGCTGGGAGCCCTGGGCCCTTGTCCTCTGGGGGCAGGAGCGCTCCACTCACCGTGTGTTCTCTGTCCTCAGGCACGGAGGCGAAGGCTGTCCTGCCCAAGAAGGAGAAACTGAAGCTGAGACGGGAGCGGTGGCTGCAGAGTAAGTCCATGCCTGGGCTCCCGGGCGGCGCTGCCGGCTCCCCCACAGTCGGGACGGCACAGGCTTCGGGGAGCCGTGCTCGAGGTCTGGCTTGGAACCCCTTCTGAAGCCAGCCGTAGCCGATGGGTGGTCTGGGGCCATGGGGGCCTTGTGAGATGGCCTGTGCTGTGACAAGCAGATGGCTCCCGGGGCAGGTGGCCTTGTCACCTGGTACGAGGGTCTGCAAAGCCTTGACTTAGTCCTTCCTAAGAAATTGGTCTCAAGAAGCTGCTGCACTCAGCTCCTTGTGTGTAAAAACACTTCTGCTTTTGGTCCCACGATGAAATTTATAATTACAAAAGCAACACGTGCATGTTGTGTTTTACGATACAGAACTATCTGAAGTCGTAGACGAGAACACCTTTCCCTTAGGCATGTGTCCTTGCAGATGTTTCTGCAGGCGTGCGACCGTGCAGGGTGTCTGGGCAGCAGCAGTTCCCAGTGTGGCCCGAGGGCCCCCCGGGGTCCTTCTGCCTTTTCAGGGGTCAGCGGGCACTTGCTTTCCAAGTACCTGTCTGTGAGGGTGGATTTTCTTCTTGTGTTTCCAGCCGAATGTCTCACAACAGGTCGAATGCCGCTCTACCCACCAGTTTTGTTTTGGAAAATATAGTTATTTTTCATGGTGCTGAATATTTGCTGTTTTTCTAAAGATAGATTTTAGATGGTTTTGTAATTCTTTTTCTTTCTTTTCTTTTTTTTAAAGATTTTATTTTTTCCTTTTTCTCCCCAAAGCCCCCCGGTACATAGTTGTATATTCTTCGTTGTGGGTCCTTCTAGTTGTGGCATGTGGGACACTGCCTCAGCGTGGTTTGATGAGCAGTGCCATGACCACGCCCAGGATTCGAACTGACGAAACACTGGGCCGCCTGCAGTGGAGCGCGCGAACTTAACCACTCAGCCAGCCCCCTGTAATTTTTTTCTTAATGTTATCTTCTTAGTGTGATTCTCTGACTTTTTAAATTAACTTGGAATGTTTTCTTCTTTATGTTTTCAGACAGTTAAAATATGATTTGCATTATTTTTTCCTTGAAGGTTTTTTTTTTGAGAAAGATTGGCCCTGAGCTAACATCTGCTGCCAATCCTCCTCTTTTTGCTGAGGGAGACTGGCCCTGAGCTAACATCCATGCCCATCTTCCTCTACTTTATATGTGGGACGCCTCCCACAGCATGGCTTGCCAGGTGGTGCCGTGTCTGTACCGGGGATCTGAACCTGGGAACCCCAGGCCGCTGAAGCAGAACGTGCAAACTTAACTGCTGTGCCACCAGGCCGGCCGCACCTTGAAGGTTTTAAAGAAAATACGTTTTTAGTTTTTTAGAGAAGTTCGTCACTTTCTTCCACGAGTAGTAATTTTGTGTTTTCTGTGACTTTCGAATATTTAAGGAGATAATTTGTTCGTCCATTTTGTTTTTCACAGTCCCTAGCATGGAGTTGTACAAAATATTCTTCGTAAAGTGGATTTGGAAAAGCTAATAAGACCGTGACCTCTGGGACCCTGAACATTTCTGGGCCACAATTCTTTGGTGCATTTAAGTTTTCTTCCATGGTGATTGGTCTTTTTTACTACTTGAGTTTATCTTGGCCACTCGTATTTCTCCTTGAACTCATCTAAGCTAATCAGATCTGAGCCTCCAGTAGCAAAGGCTGGTTGGTTGCTCATGTTGCTGACTGTCCCGAGCGTCCTTGGTAGGGTGTCGGCCCCTCTGTAATTCCTCACGTTGCTGACTGTCCCGAGCGTCCTTGGTAGGGTGTCGGCCCCTCTGTAATTCCTCACGTTGCTGACTGTCCCGAGCGTCCTTGGTAGGGTGTCGGCCCTTCTGTAATTCCTCACGTTGCTGACTGCCCCGAGCGTCCTTGGTAGGGTGTCGGCCCCTCTGTAATTCCTCACGTTGCTGACTGTCCCGAGCGTCCTTGGTAGGGTGTCGGCCCCTCTGTAATTCCTCACGTTGCTGACTGTCCCGAGCGTCCTTGGTAGGGTGTTGGCCCTTCTGTAATTCCTCACATTGCTGACTGCCCCGAGCGTCCTTGGTAGGGTGTCGGCCCCTCTGTAATTCCTCACGTTGCTGACTGTCCCGAGCGTCCTTGGTAGGGTGTCAGCCCTTCTGTAATTCCTCACGTTGCTGACTGTCCCCAGCGTCCCTCGTGGGGTGTCGGCCCCTCTGTAATTCCTCACGTTGCTGACTGTCCCCAGCGTCCCTCGTGGGGTGTCGGCCCTTCTGTAATTCCTGATTAGCTTTGTCTCTTCCATTCCAAGAGTTAATCCTTGTATTTACTCATCAATTCTACTCTTTTGTTTTCTAAATTATTAGTTTCTCTTTTATTTATAGCACGTTCTTGCTTTCTTTAGGCCTGAGTTACTTAGCTAATTTATTTTTATGTGTTTTGTTTAGGAATGAAGGGCTGTAAATTAGCCTCTGAGTGTGGCCTTGGCTACATCTCCCAAGTAATTAAATGTTACTTCATCTTTTATTATGGAAACTTTCACACAGAAAAGTCGCAGGTATTTGGCAGTGAATAACTTCTACCCACCATGTGGATTTCAGTGGACACTTTACTTCTTCATCACCTGTCTGTTCATCTGTCCATTCCTGTCTTACATCCCTCTCCCAGCCCATGTTTTATCTATGCATTCCACAGTTGCAGACATCAGTACCCTTTCTCCCAAGTAATTCTGCTCAAGTTCAATGTTTATTTATGATTCTTTTTTATTTTTATTTTGAGGTAAAATTTGCATATAATAAAATGTAAGTCTTAAGTGTGCCATTCAGTGATTTGTGACAAGTGCATACAGCTGTGCAACCAAAATCCCTTTCAAGATAGAGACATCACCATCACCCAGGACTCCCCAGAGCCCCACCCTCGACGACCCCACAGGCAACCAGTGTCTGATCTGATTTGGGTCGTAGTTTTGGTGTACTGCTCTGGATGTCATATAAATGGAGCCATGCAGGATGTGCCCTTTCTGTGTCTGGAATCTTCTGCTCAGCATGTTGTTTCTGAGATTCCCCCACGCTGCCTAGAGCCGTAGTCTGCTCTTTTGTTACTGAGAAGCATTTCTTCATATGAACATTTACGGTTTGGTCCCCACCTTTCTTTTGGTGGACACCTCGTCATTTTTCTGTTTTTAGCAACTATGAATAAGGCTGCTATGAACATTCTTTACAAGTCTTTTTGTGGACATATGTTTTCCTTTCTCTTGGGTAAATTCTTGGGAATGGAACGCTGGGTCATAGGGTAGGTGTATGTTTAGTTTTATAAGCAACTGCCAGACGTTTCTCTGCAGTGGGTGTACATTTACACTCCCACCAGCAACGCAGGAGAGTTCTGGTTGCGCCACAGCTTTGCCAGCGTGTGGTGGCGTCTGTCTCTTTAGTCCCAACTGATGTGCTGGGCGAAGTGGTAGCTCGTTGTGGTGTTAACTCTTATTGCCACAAACGGGCATTTTCATGTGCTCACTGCTCATCTGTGCATCATCCTCAGTTGAGTGTCTGTTTCACGAGGCTCTTTGCCTTTTTATTGTTGCGCTCCAAGAATTCTTATGTCTTAGAGACCAGTCCTTGGTCAAGTGTATGTTTTGCAAATAATTTTCACCCAGACCGTGACTTGCCTATTCTTTTTTTTTCCCTTTTTGATGAGTGGAAGTTTGATTTTGAGGAGTCTAAGTTATCTTTTTTCTTATATGATTTTTATGTGTATGGGTGTGTGTGTGTAGGTCTTGTTTAAGAAAACTGCCCAATCCCAAGTCATGGAGATGCTATCCTATTCTTCTAAAAACATTATACTTTTGGCTTTTATATTTAGGTTTTTGATCCATCCCTTCAGTTAACATTTGTCTATGGTGTGAGGTAGTGATTAAGGTTCTTCTTTTTTTATCAATATGGGTATTCAGTTGTACCAGCACTGTTAGTTATAAAGACTTTTCTTTCCTCATTCAATGGTTTTGGTGTCTGTGAACAATTGGATGGCTCCTAAGCATGGTTGTGTTTGGGGGCCTCCTCTGTTCGTTGGTCTATTTCTTGTACCTTAGCGAGTCCTGGGCTGTCTTGATTGCTCAGTTTTAGAGTAAGTCTCAGAGTCAGATCAGGGAAGTCCTCCATCCTGGTTCTCCTCTTTTAAGATTTCTGTGGACATTCCAGGTCCTCAGCGTTTCCATATATATTTTACAGCAGGCTTGTCAACTTGTTAAAAACCACCACCACTACCAAAAACCTAATGGGATGATGACTGGCATTGCTTTGAATCTATAGATCCATTTCAGGAGAATTGAATTTTAACAATATTGAATCTTCAAATCCATGAACATGGTATATCTCTCCATTTATTTTGAGTTTCTTTAATTTCTGTTATCAGTGTTGTGTAGTTTTCAGAGTAGAGGTCTTACATGGTTTTTTCTGAGAAGCTAATTGCTAACTGCAGTGTAGTTTTTGAAACTATTATAAATGGAATTCTCAAAAACTTCATTTTCTATTTTTCTGCTAGTATATAAAAGCATAGTTTTTTTTAATACTGTATTCTTTGACCTTGCTAAAATCATGTGTTAGTTCTCATAGTTTTTCCATAGATTCCTTAGAATTTTCTACATAATTATCATGCCACTTAAAATAGAGACAGTTTTACATCTTCCTTTCTAAACTTCGTGTTTCCGCGTCTTCTCATCCTGCTGCATTGGCTGGAGCCTTTGTAGTGTTGACAAACTACCTCCCTAGGCCACCATGGTACACAGAGCAGGTTACCTTCTTGTGTCTCTGTTTCAGGCTCTATTTATAAGGACTGTCCTGTCAGTTTTTATAGATTAGCACATGTGGGCAGGGAGGTGAGGAGGGGATGGCAGGACGCTTCCCTTGATGCCCATCTTCTGTTGTGGGACGTGGGTGGACCTCCAGGGGGCTGGTGCTGGCCCTCTTGAGCACCACATAGAAACAGCTTTCCGCCCATGAAACTTTCCCATGCATGTTCAGCATCCATATGGCCAGTTGAAGTTGGTTTTAGAGGCCTAATTTGCATATCAAATGCTTTCTTGGTTGCCCCTCAAGCTAGTTTTAAATTAAATGGTTTAGGATGAAGGAGTGTCAGTCTTTGGCACCCTCCTGAGCTGAGCCTAGG